CTTTTTTTTTTTTTTTGATAATGGGTTTATCTGCAGAATGAAGGATTATATATGTCCACTTTGTAACTGCCAGCCCAATGTCCCATCAGTCTCTTTTACTAAGTGCTCCAAGTACTTAGTTGAACAATGTTCTCCACTGCTGAGTCTGAACAAAATAATTAGCATACCACTAACAGCACTGTCACATCTCTGTTGGAAGGCCATGTGTTCCTACTATACATCAAAGACTTGATCACATTATCCAAACTGACATTTCGAATCAGCACTGAGGGAGCGTTGATAGATAGAGATGATTTCTTTCAGATTAGGGTTGATGTCCCTTCAGTAATACTGAAAGAAGAGCCAGTGAACAGCTCCTACTATCCTGGCTAGCAGTTGTACTTCTAGCTGTGTTAAGTTATCTGCCTCATTTTCCTAAAACACAACTGCAACTTCACTGTGAAAGTGCACTGTGGACAAAATTCATTTTGCCTCCAATGCTCAGCCTTCAGCCAACTGAGGAAAAGCGTATTTTAGGATCAGGATCGCGAACCTAAGACTGAGGTCCTGATTTATAGGCCACAGTGATTCCTGCACTCTTTTTTTTTTTTTTATGTTCTGGAGATTTTGACAACCTACAAGAAGCCCCTCAAAGACATGATTGAATGATGGAGCGGACTCGATGGGCCAAACAGCTTAATTTTGCCCCCGTATCTTGTGGTCTGAGAAGTGCCAAACACAGTGCCTTTGCAAGTTCCTCCAAGTCTGATGGTAAGAAAGGTGGTTCAACAGCCGCGTCCCCTCCCGAGCCAATTTACTCATTGTTGAGGTGCTAATCACACCAAACCAGCTCCACTGGTGGGACATGGGGTTTGTGTGCCTGTCACCAGATTCCCGAAGCCGTGGCTGTCCTCGGAACTTGGTAACAGCAGGATACTCCCAATATGAAGCACAATAAGGATGTTCTTGAAGCATCCCTGAAGAGATCATACATCTGGGATTCATAGCAACACCGACTTATGCATATCCAAAATGGATAAGGTTCATTCGAGAAGGCACCAAGCATATTGGGGGGGGCGCTACATCAGGAGCGTGCAGAGTGTGCTGTCTCTCTGACTCAAAAACTTCGACCACCCAAGTCTCCAATAACAACTGCCCCACATGTAGCAGAGTCTGCAGACTGTGCATCGCATTTGTCAAACATCTCTGAAACTGATGTGGAAGCAAGCCACCTTGATCCAGATGGACTGACTGAGAAGTGGGAGAGGTTTGGCTGTAAGACACTTGGAAATGCGTTTTTTTGACTCTGCCTTCTTCCTTCTTTTTCCATTTCCTTTCCCTTCATCACACATTGTTAGAATTATCTGAGTAGGAAATGTAAAGGCAATATTTGCCATCAAGTTTAATGTGCTTTATTTTAATGTGGTACTCCAGTATTCAATTGAGTACTGAATCTCTGCTTGTCTGGGACCGTCTGCTCTGCTCCTGATCTGTTACGAAAGAGTTTGCAGGATCTTAAACCCTACATTCCCTCACACCGATAGGAAAACTACCAAATAGTTATTTTCTTGAGCTTGCCATCAAGCTCGTTTTATACGGAAAGGGGTATCTTTCTACTATCAATTGCCTGGGTCAGAATCGTTTCAAGCCAATCGAAGGCTGATTGTGGAATCTGCTCAATGTTAGAATGGTTGGTGTGAGTGGGATTGAGAGCCAGAACCAGTGATAGCCCAAAGAGACCTTTAGTCCTGGGTAGATTACATTATGAACAGGTGCTGAAAATCATTGGAAAGGCAAATGGGATCCTAGCCTCTGTATCCAGAGAATTGAACCCAAAGGGGTTGAAACCCAAACACTGCAACCTCCTGAAATATAGTTTGCAGGTCTTTATAGACCACACCTGGAGTACAGTGAGCAGGTCTGATTGTACCACATCTCATGAAAGACAGATTGACTTAAGAAGGAGTCTAATTTTTTTGTTATGTAACAGAATGTGGGTGTCACTGGCTGGGCCAGAACTTATGGCTTGTCCCTAGATGCCCTTGAGAAGGTGGTGGTGAGCTGCTTTCTTGAACCGCTGCAGTTCATCTGGTGTAAGGACACCCACAATGCTTTTAGGGAGGGAGTTCCAAGATTTTGACCCAGGAACAGTGATTGTAGCTCAGGATGTCAGGATGGTATATGGTTTGGAGGGAAATCTATATGAATGGGCCATCTTTAAAATGACTGCCAGGAACTTCAAACAGCAAGTGGTTGGTGATCATTCATCTCAGTGCTGGGGAGTATAGATGGTGTCAGGGTTTCTCAGTCATGTGCCATTTTGTGAATGGTGAATATCCAGCCTGAGGGCCAGGAAGCATTGTCTAAATATTTGAGCCAAACCTTTAGGGAGAAAACCCGTGTCCTGCAAACAGCAGTTTCTGCTCGGCCAGTTGTAACTTCAGATCAGAGAATGAAATGTGCTTGTTGTCAAAACCTATTGAGGGAGATGGGCGTGCGGCACTAGGTCACAGATCAGCCACGATTTTGGCGAATAGCTGATCAGATTTGATGGGGTTAAATGGCCCACCTCCCCCTCCCTGTAATCTATGCCAAGCAAGCATTCTCAAACTAAAGCTGAGCTCTTTCATTTTTGACCGCAGGGGACTCAGCCCAGTTCCGGATGAACAAGTCATCAAAATGTACGAAGGGACCCACGTTCCTCTGGAGCACATGAGTGATTTCTATGGCAAGGTAAACGTAATGAAATATTTTGAGGTCAGCGTGTTCCCTACGTGGCTGCTGAGGCAGGCTGCGTTATCTGACCTTGTGAAATGGGAGAAACCTGCCTGTCCCTCCTCTGCAGCTGTGTCTGTGCCTTGGACAGGGAGCGTGTGGTGCTTGCTGCAGTGTTGGAGGTTTACTGTGACAGATGGGCAGCGAAGGGGCTGCAGTGTTTTTATTAACTTGCGAAACAACATTTTAGGTTGAATTTTGTTAATTTAAATCTGCGCACTTGATTTCCTGTCAGCACCTTGGAACTGTTGATATCTATTATTGAGATGTATTCCTTTAGAATCAAACAGGATAGGAGTCCAGTCTGTCCCCCGTGCCTGTGCAGGTACTTTGAAAGAGTTGTGGGACACCTGCTGTTTCCTTGTGGCCCTACTTTATTAGTGATGCCAAGTTGCCCCTTTTTGAAAGTTGAGATTCAATCTACTTTCATCACCTTTATAATGCATGATTGGCTGTATATATTTTTTTAAATCCTCCTCTTCCCTCGATTTATTTTGTCAATAATATTAAATCTTTACTTGCTGACTTGGCTGCCAGTGGAAAATTGTCTATTTAAACCCTTCATAATTTTGAACGTCTCAAGTAAATCTCGCCTGAATCGTCTCAGTTCTGATGCGATCTCAAGCTGAGGCCCCACCAGAGATCTATAAATATTTAGCATAATGTCCATGCTTTTATGCTCTTTTCACTTTTAGAACATTCATTCACGGGATGTGCACATCGCTGGGTAGGCCAGCCAATGTGTACATTGTTAAATACCAACTAGTAGGCATTATTGCCCATCCCTAATTGTCCAGAGGGCAGTTAAGTGTCAACGTTGATGTAGGTCTGGTGTCACAATTGGGCTGCACCAGGTAAGGACTGCAGCTTATTTCTGATTAGTGAATCAGATGAGTTTTGCTTGACAATCGGCAATCCTTTCACGGTCATCATTAGACTCTTAATTCCAAATTTTCATTGAATTCAAATTTCACCATCTGCCATGGCAGGATTTGATCCCGGGTTCCCAGAACATGATAGTTGTCTCTAGATTAATAGTCTAGTGATATTGCCACTAGACCATCTACTTAAAAAGACCAGGATGCTCTATCAGGCGTAGTTGAATCCCCGCCAAACCCTCCGCTGCAGGTCTTTCTGATCGCGCTCCTTATTTAAAATTCTGTCATTTTGCGTTCCTTACCCAACTTCCTTCCTTCCAAAATTAGCACTTATTGGCATTAAATTTTATCCTCTGTGTCTCTCCCTACTCCAGCAGTCTGTTCGTAGCCTTCTGAAGATTGTTGTTAAACTCCTTGCTGTTTATTTACATTTTTGGGTTTTGTATCATGTGCAAACTCTGAAATAAAGCCGCACCTGTTTAGGTGCTGAGTTGAGTGTTTGTACTGAATGCCATTAATTTCCTGTTTTTGTCCGATCCTTTCTGATTTCACTTTATGACTGCAATTGCTACTAAATCATAATTTGTTTTTTTAACATTTTAAAAGCTGTTTTGAAATGTTGTGCTTTTCATGCCATTCAATGATTTTTGTTGTTTTTCTTTAATTAGAGTTCACATGGCTTTACAATGAAACAATTCATGGACATATTTTCACTGCCAGAGCTGACTCTGCTTTCCTGTGTCAATGATTATTTCATCAAGCAGAACATCGACTTTGAGCCAGTTTATCTTTACAAGGATGTTAAGGTAAGTTGCAGGAGGCTTTTTTTTTTAAAAATTTACAGTATGATATCCTTGTTCACCTTCCTAGGGGATCATGAACACCTTCAGCCAGTTGACATCCAGACTGTTGAAGTGGTTTTCCAGGTGAGAGGTTTGACTGAAGTGGTGGTGCATCTTGAGGTGCAGAGATTGAGGGATTAAGTCACTGATAGGTCTCTGTTGAAATTGGCTCAGTTGGGGTTCCAGAATGGAGTGCTGGCCAATAACTGTCTGTGAGGCAAAAGGAATGACTGATCAGTCCAGTTTTTGAAGTTCAACATCATTGTGTTGAGTAGCAATTGTCGTGAAGATTCACATGCTTCTCCATTCATAATTGACAGGAAGTAATCCGAGATGTCCACGTTAAAGGAATATTGTATGCAGCAGTTGAACAAGACATTGGTATGTATATCAGCAATTGTGTTGCTCAACTCTTGATAGGTTTTCATGATGGGAATGGTGCATAGCAGTAATGATGCTGGACTGGTAGCAAAGGTCTGGACTGATACTCAGGTCATGGAAGTTCAAATCCCACCATTGCAACGGGGGTGGGGGGGTGGATTTTAAATTCAGTTATTAATTTTATAATTAAACATTAGTCTCATAGGTTATGTAAACATGGATTATAGCTACTTTGAATGCTGGATTGTTAAAACCTATCTTGTCTACCTTATTTGGTCTGTTCCTCCACGTGACTCCAGCCCAACACAATGTGGTTGCATTTTTAAATGGCTGAGTAAACCATTCCATTTTATCAAACCACCCGAGATGATGAATTTAAATAGGACACAGCGGTTCAAGGAGATATTTCACCACTCACCTTCCCAAGGCCAGTGATGTTCACGTACCCAGAACAACTTTAAATTGTAACAATTTATAATTCCTTACACCAGAAACCACCCAAAATATTGAAAATGTCCCCATTGTTTTTGTTTCCATTTAAGCTCTGTATCACACAAAGGGGAATTGAGATGGATTGAGCGTCTTATGATCCCCAAGTTCCATCACATCGTTATTGGTGGCGGTGCTTTCATTCATTAAGATCAAGGCAGTAAAATACTCTCTCCCAGCCTTTCCCTCCTTTTTGTTAACCTCTTTCTGTGCTTTTAGCCATCTGTCCTAACATCCCCTTATGTGGCACAATGTCATGTTTTGTTTGATAATATCTCTGAGGTGTCTCAGGGAATATTTTATCCTGTTCAGTGGACTACAGAAATGCAAGTTGGCGGTTTGTTTTGTAGGCTATTGGCCAGCTTTGTCTTTTGAAGGTACAATATTGACTCTTTTGTTTTAAGTGCAAGAGTAACTGAAGACGATGGAGATCTAAGTTAACTGCAGAGAGAGCTCTTTCAAAATGGCTAAATAGCTTCTGAATCCACCCTGTATGTTTCTACTCCCTATAGGCTACCAGCCTCTCCCCC